AGATTAGCCGCTGTGCTCTGGGGCCAGCCGCTCCAGGGCCGGCCCGCCCAGGAAATTGGTCTGGCTTAGAGATGAGAACCAGGGACCAGCCAGGAATTCAGGGCCCCAGGAGGGGCCATAAATAGCCAGAGCATGTCAGAGGGCCCTCCAGGGACGTGTGTTGGGGTTGGGGGGAGGGGAGCTGAAAGGAGCAGTGGAAAAGGAAGCTGTCTGTCATCAGTGCAGGGAGCCAGCCCAGGACACTCCCCCAAATGTCAAAGGGAAAGTAGTGTACATGGGTGTGGTGGGAGGGAGGGGTCACCTCTTCAGTGTGGACCGGCCTGGGACCACCTCTGCACCATGTCCCAAGCTCACTCAGCTGTTGGAAAAGACTGGAAATCCTCACCACACTGTTCACCATGATCCATATTCACCATGAACCATGATCATAATGATTCCTATTAGTATGATGGCCAAGCATTTTGATTTGTCCAGGACCGTCACAGTTTACTCTGTTGCCTAGGCATAATTATTAACAGCACCCTGGAGGTGTCTGAGAGCCCATCCTACTTCCTCATTTTCAATCCTTTGACCATCTTGGAATTGGGAGCAACAGCACAGCCTGTGTCATAAGTGGAAAAACTGAGGCCCAGAGATGTTAAGTGATTTATCCAAGATCACACAGCAAGGCAAGGGCTGAGCTGGTGACATGAACAATTATTTATTTATTTATTTATTTATTTATTTATGTATTTATTGGCCTTTCAGTTCAGAGTTATATCTGACAATCAACATTTAAGAAAGAACCTGTCCTTAGGGAGGAGTCCCTAGGTGGTGCAAATGGTTAATGCACTCAGCTGCTAACCGAAAGGTTGAAGGTTCAAGTTCACCCAGAGGTGCCTAAGAAGAAAGGCCTGGTGATCTACTTCTGAAAAATCAGCCATAAAAGCCTTATGGGGTACACTTCTACTGTGACACACATGGGGTCGCCATGAATTGGAGTTGACTCGACAGCAACTGCTTTTCTGCTTTTTTCTGGTTCTTAGGGAAGAAACTTTTCCCACAGGGGAATGCAAACTGGTCATCAGAAACAGCGATCTAAAAGAATCCATCCCTCTTGCTTTCCTCCGCCCCAGACATTTTACCCTTCATCAGTGGATCCAAACACATCACTGAAATTGGGGGTGGGACGTGGGAGAGGGAAGCACATTTTATAATGCTTTAGAAATGTATTCATTCAAGGTAGCTGTGTGCAGCTCTGGAAATAAGACTGAACTTGGATTCCGAAGATCTGGGTTTAAATTCTTGCCATGTGGTCACCTTTCTAAGCCACAGGTCCCTAACCTGCAAAATGAGGTCAACAGTATATACCCAGCCTGTTAGGTAATGCATGCTTGAGTGCCTGGTTAATGCCCCACATGTTATAAAGACCAGGAGCTCCTGGTGAGGCAAGACCTTATTCAACTTTGTATTCTTGGTGTCTACGACAGTGCCTGGCACACAGCAACCCTCGATAAACATTGGTTAAATGAGAGAATGAAGTAGTTTCTTTACATGTAAATGTGGTGTGTTTATGTGATTATAATAAACATTCCTTGCTATTTTTCAGCTCTTGCCGCCTTTTCTTTATGGACACAGGCATTATTACCACCACCCCATGCTTTATACTCCCTGGGAAAATGCCTGAGAAACAATCCCTGGATAAGAATGCCTTTCGTAATAAGCTTAATAGGTGATGTTGCTGGTGTTAGCTGCTGTTGAGTCAGCCCCTGACTCATGGCTACCCTGTACACTACAGAACAAAATGCTGACAGGTTCTGAGCCATACTCATGATTGGTTGGGGATTGAACCATTGTGATCCATAGAGTTTTCATTGGCTGAATATTGGAAGTAGATTGCCAGGCCTTTCTTCGTAGTCCATCTTAATCTAGAAGCATTGCTGAAACCTGTTCAGCATTATAATATCCCGCAAGCTTCCACTGACAGAGGCGGCTGCACATGAGATATATTGGCGGGGAATTGAAAGCAGGTCTCCTGCACGGAAGGCAAGAATTCTGCTACTGAACTACCACTGCCTCATGTCTAATAGGTAGAGTCACCATATAATTTATTGTCAAAACTGGGAGTCAACGAAGGTGCTTTTAATAATTACGTTTGGACAATGGTATAAACTGTGACTATCCTGGACAAATCGAAATGCTTGGGCATCATACTAATAGGGAACCCTGATGCTCAGAACTCTCTGGAGGTGGAAACCCCAAATACTCCAAAGCATCCTGACTCTTATTCTCTAGTAATCCTTGCAAGGGTACCCTCCCTTCTCATCTCCACAGTCCAACCCTATTTGTCTTTTTTTGTTGTTTGTTTATTGTAGTTTAAATGAAGTTTACATTTCAAGTTAGTCTCCCATACAAAAATTTATACATACATTGTTATGTGACCCTAATTGCTCT